ACTGAAGATGGAATTTAGGGCGGCTGGCATGCTGGGCAGGTGCTCTGCCTTGAGATAAACCCTAGTCCTGTGATTAATTTTATTTTAAATGATAAATTCCATTTGAGCAAATTAGTCCTAATGGGTTGTAGAGGAAGAATAGGTAAGGATGAGGACATGTCCTGCCAGACACTTTGATCTGTGCCTCTGCCTGTGGGGGCATGTGGCTGAATAGACAACCCATTGCAAGTACTTTTCCCTTTTGAGTTGGACGTGGAGGGGAAAGCTAGCAACCAGGAGCCAGTTCCTTAGACCCGGCATGTTCTGTGGCTTGTAGACAGAAAGTACTGGCAGACGCGCTTTCCTAACCTGGTGCCATGGGGGACTTCTGGGGCTTCCCTGCCCAGCCCTGGCAAAAACCTGGGCCAGTCCTCTTACGGATTAGGGTGGAACTCTAGGAACGGCTCAGGCCTTCTGGCCCTGCCAATCGCCTCCCTGGTAACCTGCCACCTGCCATTTTGCTGGAAGCTGTTCTCTCCACAGAAGCACTTAGCTGCAAACTGTGTCTGCCTCTGTTTGTTTGAATGGGGCCCAGGAAAGGCTGGCGAGGAGCAGCCACAGATGGGAGGTGCTAGGGAAACGGCCCTCAGCAGGCATCCAGAGCAGCAGGGCACAGAGATGAACAGTGAAGCAGGTTCCGGCTTGCTTCCCTCTCCTCCGTTCTGATTGGAACAGCAGTGAGCGAGCCCCGTTTAGAGGCCTCTGACTCAGTCACCTGTGCGCAGTCACAAGCTCGGACTTCTAGGCTTGCCTTAGCCAGACTGGGTTGGAGTGTCAGATCGCTTCTATTTGATTAGAAAGGCCCTGCCTTTCTGTCACTACTAACATTATGGTTGGCAAGGGTTCTGTGCTAAGTAGACTTAGGGTGGGAAGGGTTATTTGGCCCATGCCAGATCACTTTGTCACATTTCGTTTGGGCCTGTGGTGGTCTAATATATCATGGTGGGAGCATGTAGCCAAGGAAGCCAGTCACCTGATGACAATCAGGAAGTGAGTTGAAGAAAGAGGAATAGACTGGGTCCCACTTTCCCAACTTCCTTCCACCTCTTAAAGGCTCCACAGCACTCAGAGTGGCAAGGCTGGGGACCAGGCCTTTGGAGAACATTTAAGATCCAAGCCCCCCATGCACCTTGGTGCTGCAAGCGATGCAAGGTATCTTGGCGCAGGCTTTAGGTTTGCCTTGGGTGTGTTGCTGATACTGTCCCTGGTTGGCTGCTGTTGCCTGAGATCCTTGAAAAGGGGGTCATGGCTCAGTGAGAACAAGCTGTCATGGCTACCCTGGTTACCATCAGGTGTCTGCTGACCAGTAGCTTGCTTAAGTGTTTACACATCTTTCAGAACTGGAAGGAACCTCCTAGTACCAGGCACTTCAGTGGCGTCTAGTTGTCCAGGATTTTGGATCCGTAGGAAGGAGTCAGTGTGGCCCTGCATAGCTTCAGTGACTTTATCTGCTCTTGGATAGAATTAAGCCAGATTTTTCTGGGTGTGGTAGTGTGATAGTCTCCTGTGAATGGGTAGGCAATAGGCTAGGACACAGCTGCTGGTTAGTGCAACAGGAAAATCTTAAAATTGGTGCCTTTTGACAACCGTGTTTTATGTGGGGAAAAGAAACTAAGAAATGAGTCATGAAACTAAGACCCCAGCAACTAAGACTTTCTGAAGGTCACAAAGAAAGTCAAGGGCTCCTGCTTCTCTCCTGGGGGTGTGGTAACCGTTTCTGGGTTCCACGACAAAGTCTGCCCTAGTTCAAATCCCAACATCGGCCAGGAGCTGGGGAAACTTTCCTCATTTTTGAGATGGCCAGCATGGGATAATTCTTCCCTACATACCTCTTGCTTCTGATTTTTAACTTGTACTTGTTTTTTTCTCCAGACAGGGTTTCTTTGGAGCCTATCCTGGCACTTGCTCTGTAGACCAGGCTGGCTTCGAACTTGCAGAGATCTGTTTGGGTACTTTTGTGGGTTGAAATGCATAAATATAAAATCTTATATAATTGTTTTAAACAATTAAATAGAATAAGAATTATCCTAAGATTAAGCACCTTGGTTTTTTTTCCCACCATGTTTCTGTGCTCATTTGCATGGAATCCTAGCGCAGCCATTTAGAGCTTTTGCTTCCACTCGCTTCCTGTGCTCAGTGTCTGCACGGGCCGATGAGGGGAGAACACTTGGAGTAGCTGCTGGATAGGATTGCCGGTTCCAGGTGCCAAGCCTGAGAGCCATTTGTAAAGTGGTGTGGCACTCTGAGGAAGGTGTAAGTAACCTGGGTGAGATTCACACAGTCCTGGGAGGGTGGGGGCCAAGCTTTGGGGCTTTGTGCCAAGGCCCCATCCAAGGTTCCATGCAGTCTCCAGATAAGAATGGCAGCGGGGCAGCTAAGGGACCTCCACAGTCTCCGCTACAGCTAGTGTCGTGTTCCAGCAGGGTTAGTATGCTGTTTGCTTTGGTGTTTGTGTAGCTTGAGCACAGCGATTTATACATTTGCTATTCACTTTCTTGCCCCAGTATCTCCTTTCTAAATATTTTAGTTACAGAATAAAAAAGGAAGTGTGTGTGTGTGTGTGTGTAAAATTCAGTTATAGTGCTGTAACAGTCTGTTCCTAGCTGGGTGTGGTGGCGCATGCCTTTAATCCCGGTACTCTGGAGGCAGAGGCAGGCAGATCTATTAGTTACACAGAGAAGTCTGTGTGTGTGTGTGTGTGTGTGTGTGTGTGTGTGTGTGTGTGTGTGTGTGTGTGTGTGTGTGTATTGTCTATCCCTGAAAAGTGTTCATCCCTATTGGAAGAAATGTGAAAAGTTAAAATTTTGGTGTCTGCATATAGGGTTTTTCCTTAAATTCTGGGTCTTATGGGGGGGTTTGTGCCATTTCTCCAGCTTTGGTGTATTTCTTAAATTCTTTTTAAGCAATGTAACTTCCTGGGGAAAAACACCAAAAACCACAGAATGGACTTTATGTCTGCACTGGGAATTACTTAACTACTTAGAGAGCTTTCCCACAGTTTCTTAATGGGATCTCTGCTGTTAGCCTCTCTTCTGTGAAGTTCACTTGCTGTCAGAGTCTAAAAGCGAAGTTCTCTACAAAAGTCAGGGTCTAGATCACAAGACAATGATAGTGTATAACCCTTGGGGGGGTGCAGTTGAGAGTCTGGGGTTTTTCATCCCTCTCCTCAGGTAAGTTTGGAAGAATACCTGTTTGAAATTAGTGGGAAGAGCTCCTCAAGCCTTTGGGAACTTAGTCTTCTAAGAAAACTGGCATTTGCTGTAGGGCCCAGGAACTTTTTTGCTCTGCTGTATGCGCTAAGCACTACTGTGTATGATACTAAACCCCCAAGACTTCACCAGCGACCTGGGGCAGAATGAAGTTGTACCAAGTTGAGAAAGAATGCATGCAAAGAGTCCCACTCTGGGATCCAGCTCACCCTTGGATCTTAGGTGATATTCAGCCCCTGTCCGCGTTTCCTGTACTCATAAAGTGGCACCGTGTGAACTTGGCGGAAGATGGTCTGTAGACTGGACCTCTTGAGCAAGTGCAGTTGGCGATGTGTTCTCCGAGAGCTTCAAGTGCAGGCTTAGTGGGGCTGGAGAGATTGCCCAGCAGTTAAGTACACTGGCTGCTCTTCAGAGGACCCAGGCTTTGTTCTCAGTACCCACCCACATGCTGGCCAACAACAGTGGAATTCCTGTTTCAGAGGCTCTCAGCCTTTTTTGGCTTCTGAAATGTGCGCAGACATACATACATGCAGGTAACACACACACACACACACACACACACACACACACACACACACATGCACGCACGCACACACAGTAAATTCAATAATTTAAAGATGACTGGATTCTAGTAATCTCTGGTCCCCACAACCTAGGCATGTGACTTGTTGGTTTTCCTGCAGTCATTTTCCTACAATTTTACTGACTCTTAGGAGAGAATTACCTCTAGAGTTTCACAACTGCTATGCTAGTGTGTGCGCTTCTGTCTTCTTGTGTAATCTGTTTATTTATTGGTATTTCCAATTTTTTTTACTAAATCGAAAATCTATGTCTAGTGTTCTGCTTTTGCCTGTAATCACAGTGTGTACTGTTACTGTTTTGCTTTTGGTTTTTTGAGACAGGGTTTCTCTTTGCATCCCTGACTGTCCTGGAACTGGCTCTGTAGACCAGGTTGGCCTCAAACTTGGGAGATCCATCTCCCTCTACCTCCTGAGTGCTGGGATTAAAGACATGCACAACCACTACCTGGTTTGTGTGTACTGTTTTTTTTGTTGTTGTTGTTGTTTGTTTTGTTTTTTCCTTTCCAAATGTTTTCCTCATGATAGTTTTCTCTGTTTAATCCTATCCTTTTCCTTGTTGCTTCTTTCAGAGGAGAAAGAGCCCACAACCAAGAGATTGGTAGTTCTGAGGAAGCGCGCGCGCGTGTGTGTGTGTGTGTGTGTGTGTGTGTGTGTGTGTGTGTGTGTGTGTGTGTGTGTGGACATGTGTCTCCCACAGCAGGGGTGAGGAGGATGAGGCCCCCATCTTCTGCGTTGTTTCACGTGGCTCTTGTGTTATTGCCGAGCGCGGAGGCTCTGCTGCTGGCACACCGTCCTTCTGTAGGAGCACAGGGCTCACAGGCATGCTGCGTGTGTCCAGCGTTATGTGGGTTTCAGGTGTTCAAACTCAGGTCCTCTACCTGCATAGCAATTGCTTCACCCTCACCCTGCAAAGGGCTTGTTTGAGCAGTAGAACCACCAGTTTAAAGAGAACCGTTTTGGGGGCCTGGAGAGACGGCTTAGTGGTTAAGAACACTTGCAGAGGACCAGATTTGGTTCCCAGCACCTACATGGCAATGCCTGACCATCTGTAACTCCAGTTCTAGGAGAATCTGATACTATTCTTGGGCCTCTGTGGGCACCAGACTTGCTCATGGCACACATGAATGCATGCAGGTAAACACTCAAAACACATAAAATAAAAATAAAAGAATTAAAAAAAAACAGGAGCCTTTTATTTTTGATGGGTGTCTTTTGAAAGGACTGAGTCAGACATGATGGCACATCTTAGCTCTTTGGGAGATGGAGGCAGGAAAATCAGAAATTAAAGTTGGTGTGGTTACATAGTAAGTTTGAAGTTGGCCTGAGTCCCATGTGACCCTGTTTCAGAAAGCAGTCAAACTTAAAGGTGTTTGTGACTTTTCTAAATTAACAATTAATTCTTTATCAACGTCAGATACTGACTAAATTTTGTAAGATGTACTTAGAAAAAGTTCGTCTGAACAGAATTGGCCTGAGAAGGGTATGGGCAGTTTGACACTATTCAGGCTTTGTGTCCAGGGGTGCGGTTTTCTTTTTGTGGTAGTATAAGGCAGCTTTGCTTTCTCCTGGCTCAGAGGTGGGGTCCTGGAGAGCTGGGGATGGGGGTGTTTGCATGCATCACTTTCTTCTCTGCAGTGTTCATTGGGATGTTCAGTGGCCCAGGGGAGTGGTGGTTTGTGGTAGGAGCTGTTTAAAAACAAAATGGAAACAACAAAACACTCAGGAGAGACGCTGTGCACTTGGGCTGGAATTTGGGCCCAAACAATACAGTAGCACTCTGCCTCCCAAAACAAACTACCCAAGATGAACCCTTTAACTTACTGAGTTGCCCTTGGTGTCTATGGAGGTTTGGTTCCAGGATCCCCACAGATAACAAAACTCGTGGGTGCTCAAGGCTTATGAAATGGTAGTTTGTATATAACCTAGCACACTCTCTTGGGGGTATGTTTAGTTTGTTGTTGTTTGAGAGTCTTGTTTGAGAGATCAGGCTGGCTTTGAACTTACTAGGTAGCCAATGTTGACTTTGAATTCCTGGTCTCTTTCCTTGCCCTCCTAAGTACTGGGAGTAGCCACCGCTTCCTCCTGTGTGCTTTAATAATTTTTCCTTTACTTACAATGCTTACTTGCTACAGTCTGGGCACTAAGTAAATAGTTGTTGTACTATATTGCTTAAGAAAGAGTAGCAAAAGGAAGTCTGCAATGTTTGTTTGTTAGGTATAGGCAAGTTTGTTTCCTTCTATATATTTATTTTTCATTATTTTGTGTGTGCTTTATCTGCATATATTCATACCATATGAGTGCCCAGTGCCTGAGAAGATGGGAAGAAGGCACTAGATCCCCCAGAATTGGGAGTTCTGATGGTTGTAAGTTGATATATGGGGTGCTGGGAACTAAATCTGGGTCCTTTGTAAGAGCAGTAAATGCTCTTAACTGCTGAACTCTCTCCAGCCCCCTTTGTGTATTTGCTCTACAGTTATGGAGGGCTGTCTGTAGTAGAGCAGTTTGACAGTCCTCACTGCAAACTACTAGATATATTACAAGGGGCACCAAGAAGCCTTGGATTTCTATGATCTGAGCTGTCCGTGATAGAATAGGTTCTCAGTGTTCTCAGTACAACAAAGCCTTTTCACCTTGGACTCTTGGTTGGAAGCTGGTGAACCTAAAACAGCCTGCTAATTTGTATTTTATTTACATTGGCAGGTTAGGAAATAATTCAGTTTTGGGTCTGCATTTTTAAAGAAATGACAGAAATTCAGAGTAAATTATATGAGATTGTATGTAGTGTGACCTAATGTATAGTGATGTGTGCACGTGTGCATATTGGATGCCAAAATAAAATTGTTATTCTAAATTATATTGCGTTAGTTTGCAAAGCACTGATTTGTATGTACCTTTTTAAGCAAAGTAGTTGAACAACCATGAGGTTATTTATTTAGTGATGCTGGCCTCTGCCCACCGAGTGTCTAAAATAACATTGGTATTAGCTGTTACGTACATAGTGATTGTAATGGGCCAGGCATTGTATATAGCAATCACATATTTTCTATAACCATCCCACTTTATAGATGGAGAAATTGAAATTTAATTTGAACCAGAGCTAGTGAATCTGGAATTCTTATTCTAAAGCATTTCTTCAAGGGAAGACTTTAAACAAAAAAAGAATGGGTTTACTGTGTAGCCTGACTGACCTGAAACTCAGTGATTCATTTGCCTCTGGAGTTACTGGAAGTAAAAGTGCATTGTCCCCATGCTAAGGAGTTTTCATGAAGTTCCTTAAAAAAATAGAATGCCCTAAAGTGTACACGGAGCTCACATTTAGAGTTAACTAATATGCTTCCCTAATTTTTATTCCAGATATGAGAAATGAGTGTTGGACGTCGAAGAATAAAGTTGTTGGGTATCCTGATGATGGCAAATGTCTTCATTTATTTGATTGTGGAAGTCTCCAAAAACAGTAGCCAAGAAAAAAATGGAAAGGGGGAAGTAATAATACCCAAAGAAAAGTTCTGGAAGACATCCAGCCCTTCGCGGGCATACTGGAACAGAGAGCAAGAGAAACTCAACAGGTGGTACAATCCCATTCTGAACAGGCTGGCCAACCAGACAGGGGATGTGTACGCAGCTCCAAACACAAGCCATCTGGGCTATTGTGAGCCTGACCCAAGGGTCATGACAGCTGTGACAGACTTTAATAACCTGCCGGACAGATTTAAAGACTTCCTCTTGTATTTGAGATGCCGAAACTACTCACTGCTCATAGATCAACCGAAGAAATGTGCAAAGAAACCCTTCTTACTGTTGGCAATTAAGTCCCTCATTCCGCATTTTGCCAGAAGGCAAGCAATTCGGGAATCTTGGGGCAGAGAAACCAATGTGGGGAACCAGACAGTAGTGAGAGTCTTCTTGTTGGGCAAGACGCCCCCAGAGGACAACCACCCTGACCTTTCAGACATGCTCAAGTTTGAGAGTGAGAAGCACCAGGACATTCTCATGTGGAACTATAGAGATACTTTCTTCAACCTGTCTCTGAAGGAGGTGCTGTTTCTCCGGTGGGTGAGCACTTCCTGTCCAGATGTGGAGTTTGTTTTTAAAGGCGATGACGACGTATTTGTGAACACTCACCACATCCTGAATTACTTGAACAGCTTATCCAAGAACAAAGCCAAAGATTTGTTCATAGGTGATGTGATCCACAATGCTGGGCCTCATCGGGATAAGAAACTCAAGTACTATATCCCAGAAGTCTTCTACACTGGGGTCTATCCTCCGTATGCAGGGGGAGGTGGGTTCCTGTACTCTGGCGCCCTGGCCCTGAGACTGTACAATGTAACTGACCGGGTCCACCTCTACCCCATAGATGATGTCTATACTGGAATGTGCCTTCAGAAACTGGGCCTTGTTCCAGAGAAACACAAAGGCTTCAGGACATTTGATATTGAAGAGAAAAATAAAAAAAATATTTGTTCATATATAGATCTAATGTTAGTACATAGCAGAAAACCTCAAGAGATGATTGATATTTGGTCTCAGTTGCAGAGTCCTAATTTAAAATGCTGAGGTACATCGGAGCTACATTTCACACAAAGGCCTATCCTGACTAGTTCCCATGTTGTGCTTGCACAGTAGGGTGACTTCTGTAAGAAGCCATCAGCCTTGATGAGTAGCGTAGCATCTGAGCCTCAAGCCCTTAGTCCCACACTTTTGTGGCCAGGGGAAAAGCTGAAGATAATTCCCCATGGCAGTGTGACTGGTTCTGACCCTTCCTCCGGCTGCCAGTCCTCAGTTCCTAGAATCCATCACTTTCTTTACGAAAGGAAAGCTACCATGCAGCACACACAGTTCATCTCGTCTGGCCTTACGGCCGTGAGAAAGACAAAAGGTTTCCTTTGACTCGTGTTTGGTTTGCTGGGTAGCATCATGATAGTTGATTTTCGTATTTGGAAATCTTGGGTGTGATTCCTAATGGCCAACTGAGGACTCAGTAGCCGGACAGCCATGTGGATTTGTGAATGTTCAGCGTGGGTCAGGGAAGCATTTGTGACTTTTGAACGTGAAATGAAAAGCTAGGTTTTGGAGACATTTTCTTAAGTGGGTTGTCAGGTTAAAACTCCAGGATTCTATTCTTGCCATGGTCTCTATCACGTGTTGCTTAGCCGAAGCTCTTCTGAGTAGTGATGCTTCCCTGTCTCGGTGTAGAAGTACCTGTGTTTTTATTTATTGTTCAGATCAAAGACCAAAACATTTTCTTAAAAATATTTTGTGTAATATTTTATTTGTATACAGTGTTGTTTGTGAAATATTTAACTAGAGCATGATATTTTATTTTTTCTCAATTTAAATTAGTTTTTTGAGACTTTCATACAATGTGTTTTGATCCATATTCCTCCCAGATCCAGCCCCAGCATGTTTTAAATGTTAAGCTGTAACATATGTTGAATAAAGTTAACTCTTATTTTTGAATTTTAAAATTTGGATTGGGGGGTTAGGACTGCTAGAGTTGATAAAGTTCTGCCAAATTGTTGCTTATACCTTGTATCTTGTAACATGCTTTCTTGAAATATTTTGTGTTTTAGAGGGTTCTCCTTTGTGCTGTTAGGGACTGGGGGAAAAGCGGAAATAAAGTGACTGTATTTTTTAATCATCATGTGCAATAATTATCTTGTTCTTGTTTTCCTGTGTTTTATTACATCCTCCCAGGCACTCTTTCCTAGAAACTATTATATTAACTATCTGTTGATCTCTGTGGGCTTGGTTTCTAGTCTCAAAGTGCTTTCCAGTTGAGACATGGAAAGGTACTATTTGTGACTTCCTGACAGCTGTCCACCCCGGCCAATTGTCTGTCTGTCTGTAGCCCTTGCTGTCCTGGGGTGCTCTATGTTGTCCAGGCTGGCCTGGACTCAGAGCTCCTCCCTCTGCCTCCGGAGTTACGGGATTACAGGCGTGCGCTTCAGCTGTAAACCACCTGGAGCCCTGGCATCTTCCATCCTAAGTGTCTCTAAGACGGCCCAGACCATCTCATCCAGTGGCTTGCACTGTCTTTCTCAACGTCAGCTACTGTGCACCTCATGCCCTTCGAAGTCCTCCCTGACACTGACTGAAGATTTACTGACATGAATAACCCTGATCCGGAACAACCACGTCTGTCACTTCTTTCTTTAAAAACATGTGAGAAGTATGCAGAATAGAAAACTCATACCCTATCCTAAGGGTTCTACTCCGAGGGGTCCTGTGTGTCTCATGTGGACTTTCTGGTGTCACTGTCCATCCTTGCAGTGGCCTCTGACCCCGAGTCCCACGCTTTGTAACAGAGGAGACTTGCTATGAAAATGGAAGGAGTTTAAGGAGTTTCATTTTATGATTTAAAATAACTTGTCTGGCTTTCCTTTTTTTTTTTTTTTTTAACGACCCTGGGGATCCTGGTGGATGCCAGGCAGGCATTCTCCTATGAATACTTAGCCCTGCCTGGTTCTTACCTAGTGGGTAGGCAGGGCGTCGGGTGCACACCTTAGCGCTCCACTCCATAGCTCTGGGTGGTTCCCTCAGATCGAGGCAAGAATGTGCTAGCTAAGCTCAGCGCCTGTGTGTGTCGCTTGGATCAGGGTGTTCTGTTGACGATGGCACCTGTCTCGTCAGGGTCAGCTTCCTCTGTCACCTACAGTGGAGGATTGCCCCTCTGACTGTCTTGGACCCGGAAGGACCAGCAGCAGGGCTCTCTCCACACAGCCGATACCTGGGATGGCTTCCAGAAGGAGGCTCCAGGATTCATTCACTGTTACCCAAGCCTGTCCGACCACTCCTTCCTGGGGTGGATGGGAGTGGCCAGGCCCTCCATGTCTTGATGATCCCCCCAAGATCTCTCTGTGGCTCTCCCTCTCACTTAAGGGTTCAAGGCAGTTACTAGGGCCAGAATGCCTGCCTCTGCACTGCCAAACGGGGCGGGGCTGAGACGAGAATGGGCATGCGCACACTCCCTAGCAGAGGTCGGAGGCTGGTAGAACTCGGCACCCGCAAAGGAAGAAGTTGCAAGGGACCCACCTGGACAGAGACCCAGGCCTACTCACCACAAGCCCCGCCTTGTCCTGGCTCTTGCAGTCCTGCATTCCAAGCTGCGGCAAAGGCCAGAGCTCAGACTCTGGCAGCAGTCCTCCTGGCTGCTGAGACGGAGGAGTCCCGGCACATAGAAAAGAAAGACAGTAATCAAATGTGGGCACACGTGAGCTGCTCACATGGCAACAGCCTCACATCCTTGTTTCTGTCTCGTGGGAAATGAGACTTGAGTAGAGCGCGCTGGGATACATTGCTGGCCTAAAGCGTGGTGAGGAATGCCCTTATTTATCTGATTGCAAAAGCTTCAAGTGTGTCATAAGGAATGAAGGGAGTACTGGTGCTGGTGTACTGTTAGAGCACTGTGTTTACTCACGGAGACAGGCTGGGCCCAAGAACAAGATGGAAAACAGCCCCCTGGGGAGCTGAAAGGTTCAGGCATTACACTGGCCTGCCCCGTTACCTGACAGCACACGCAGGCTGGGAGGGAGAGGCCCTTCATGCTGGAAGGCGGCGGGCTCTGCTACTCCTCCCTCCAGAAGTGGGCAAGGCACCTCAGTGAGTGCCTAGCGCTTGCCCCTGCAGTTGAGTACAAGCTGAGCATAGCTGTCAGGTAAAACAACAACCAAGGTGGATGTTCTGGTGAGTGCCTACATGTAAGGACAGCCTGAGCTACCTAGTGAGACCCTGTTTGAACAAAACAGTAAAACCCCACTCCCAGTGGCATATTTTATGTAATATGTCAGACAGTTTAAGAGTATGTTCCATTTTATCCCAGGACACCTTTTCATTTCTGATAGACCAATCCAGTGAGCTTCGGTGTCTTAAGTGACTTCCTGAGTGACTCATCTGGAAAACATTTAAATTAAAAAATAATTAAAAATTAAAATTTCTCTTATTTTTTATATACATATTTTATTTACATGCATATATACACATACGCGTATGTGTTCTCTCTTATGTGTGCATGCATGTGTGTGTGTATCTACAGAGGTCAAAAGAGGGTGTCAGATCCTCCAGGGCTGGAATTACAAGCTGTTGTGAGCCACCCATCATAGGAACCAAACTGATCCTTTGCAACAAGTACAAGTTCTCTCTCTTTTTTTAAATTAAGATTTATTTATCTTATTATTTAGTGTGTGTAAGGGTTTGGTTTCATGTATGTGCATGCCTGGAGTCCACAGAAGTCAGAAGAGAGCGTTCCATTCCCGAGACGAATTAATAGACAGTTGTGCGCCCCCATGAAGAAGCTGGAGCTTGAAACTGGGTCCTCTGCAAGATCAACAAATGTTCTTAACCTTTGAGTCATCACTCCAGCAGCAAGTGCTCTTTAAAAAATATTTTTAAAATTATTTTATGTGCATTGGTGTTTTGCCTGTATGTATGTCTTTATGAGAGTGCCAGATTCCCTGGAAATGGAGTTACAGACAGTTGTGAGCCGCCATGTGGGTGCTGGGAATTGAACCCAGGTCCTCTGGAAGAGCAACCAGTGCCTTAACTACTGAGCCACCTCTCTAGCCGCAGTAAATGCTCTTAACAGCTGAGCCATCTATATGTAGCCCCTACAATTTTTAAGAAATGTGTGTGTGTGTGTGCACGCACGAACATGCGTGCACTGTTGGCTGAGTGTATGTGTGTGTACCACATGCTGTTGGAGCCCAAGTAGGCCAGAGGAGGTGTCAGACCCCTGGAACTGGAGTCGCAGTTGTGAGCTGACATAAGATGCTCGGACTTGGACCCCGACCTTTGCAAGAGCACAAAGTATTCCTAACTGCCAAGCCGTCTCTCCAGCCACCCCTAAATTTTTTTTATTTTAAGTTAATTTTTTGGCACAGAGAAGTTTTAAAAACAGTACAGAGCATCTGTGAACCGCTGTGCAGTTTTGCTACTGAGCGGAATCAACAGTAAGCAGCCAGCGACGGTGTCAGCATTGCAGAGGTCCCTTGCTTGTGTGGCAGACGTCCTTGGGTTTGACCGCGTCTCACTGAGGACCTTTTGAGGTCGCCTCAGCACCTTATTTAAGGCCCCATGTTACACAGATAGCCCTGTTTTCTCCTTGGTCTCCCATCTGTTTCCCAGTCTTTACTCGTCTTTCGTGACTGATGGTTTTGGCCAGTACTGGTTATTCATAGACTGTTCCTTGGTGTGGGCGTGTCTGTGGTCTTCTCATGGTAAGAGTGGGTTAGGTGTTGTGGACAAGAATACTGGAGCCATGCCAATGTGTCACATGGGGATTCATGATGTCATATGTCCCCATTGCCGACAGTACTGGGTACTTGTAATTAGGACCTATGAGGGATGTTTGTCCATAAATATGCAGATAAATAAAGGTGTCAGTGTGTATAGCGCCCAGAGCCTGGCAAGTGGCAGCTGCTCAGCGTTGGACTAGCTCTTGCTTCCGTGTCAGCATTGCCTGCCCTCACCCTGACCCACACATCTGTGCGTGTCAAGGATACCAGCCTTGAGAAGGGCACGGAGAGACTGGACATGGTGGCAGGGACCTGTAACACAGCACTCAGGAGGCAGAGGCAGGAAGATTGCCGCCAGGCCAAGCCCAGCCAGGTGTGACTGCATAGCGAGACCCCATTTCAGGAAGCCAACAGCAGAACACAGAGGAGCTCAAAGCAGGATGGCGAGGCAGATGACTCTCCTGCGAAGGAGAAGATGCCTCCTGGGGAGGGTGGCGGTGGTGGCCCACATCCCTGGAGGTCTGGACAAGACCCTGCTGGACAGGACGGAGGGAAAAACCCACATAATTGAGCCCCTGTGGCAGGAGTAAGTCCCAGCTGGCTAGGGCAGAGTTGCTGCAAAAGTAGCCTTCAGGAGGAGGGCCGAGTTGGGTGGAGACAGCCCCGAAGCCTGTGGGAAGCTGGCCCTTCCTAGGTTGGGCAGTCTTGGCTTGCTTTCAGAGGGTGGGTGTCAGAGGCAGAGTCCCTCCGTGCTGCCTCAGCAGCAGGCAGGCAAGCACAGCCGCTTTGGCTCCTCAGGAGGCCCCCGTGCCAGGACACCACTTTATTTACAGGACGGCTCTTCTTGGCAGCTTTCTCCACCTCCTGGGCTCTTCCCCTTCTTCGGAGCATTTGGCTCTATTTTTACCCAGAGATGGGATGATTCTCATGTTTGAAAATAGCTGCCATGGAGCGGGTTGTTGTGGCTGCTGCTGTGGCCTTCCAGGCATCGGTCTTCATTCTTCTCCCGGAGACAGATGTGCCTCGGGCCTTGGCGGTGGGGGAGTGGAAGGAATGGCAAGCCCCCGCCTGCCTGGCCCAGGGCCCGTGGCAGCAAAACTCTTCCTTCCGTGACTAACGGGGATATTGGAGTTACTGGCCATCTCTCTTAGGACGTCCAGGAAGCTTATGGAGGTGAGAGCAAGGGCTGTGTGTCTGTGCAAGAGGAAAGAGGAGGCAGTAAGCACAGGTTTTGTCCTGGCTTCCAGCATGTGAGCTTCTGTGGTGCTTTGAAAGAAAATGCCCCCCAGAGGCTCATAGGGAGTGGCACTATGGGGAGGTGTGGCCTTGTTGGAGGAAGTGTGTCGCTTTGAGGTCTTAGATGCTCAAGCAGAGCAGTGCATCTCCAGTCTCTTCCTGCTGCCTGCAAATCAAGGTGTAGAGTAGAACTCTCAGCGCACCGTGTTTGCCTGCACACCACCATGCTTCCCGCCACGATGGTAACAGACTGCATCTCTGAACTGCAAGCCAGCCCCAATTAAATGGTTTCCTTTATAAGAGTTGCCATAGTTTTATGGTGTCTCTTCACAGCAATAGAAACCTGAAGACAGCTTCCCTTTCCCTGTTTTGGCTTGAGCTAGCTGGAAGTAGATGGCTCTTGGTTATGACTGAGACCCTTCCCGAGATCTAAATCTAACTGCAGGTGCTCCAGATTCCTACCTCAAGATACCCAAGCTCAGGTCAGCTCTGTGGTCTTGCTCCTAGTAGACATCTGGAAAGGGGCATGAATGTCCATTTGTTTTCTCTGGAGATGTCTGGTCCAGCCTCACCAGATTTTAGATGCTATGACCACCATACAATGCTAGCTTTACAATTTGCGGAGTGAGTTTAGCTGGGAACTCGGCTTCAGCTCCACTCCTCCCTCTCCAGGCCCCGCCCTCAGAAAGCCCACCAAGTGGCCACTCCTCCCCAAGCTCAAGACCACACCTACAGAGTATTTAAGCCTGACCTCCGCGAGACTTCCCTCGTGCTCCCCCTCATCACCCAGGGTGCTTTGCTCAGATTAACCCTGATTTTAGTAATTCGGTTTGACCTGGTTTATTGCATCAGCAGAGAAACCACCACCAGGGATTCAAAATACTTAGCAGAATTCAAGGGTTCCGTGGCTTTCGGAGGGAAGCCTGAGAGCATGCAGCGGTTTCCCTGTGGGGATTCCCTGGGAAGACAATGTAGAAAGCTGTGAACAAAGGAAGTTCTAGATGCCAAGTTTGTGGAACATCTGCCAGGAACAACCACAAGTAGAGGCCGCCATGTAGGTACGAATGGTAAAGCCGTAGGGCTGGAGTCACCCGTGTGCCCTGAAGGCTGGGCACAGTCACAGGGCTTGAGTTCTGCCCCTTCTGACTTTGCATTCTTTTGGTCTGGGCCTTCCTTGGTATTCTACTCTCCATTTTGGAATGGGAATGTTTATACTGTATTTTTAAAAAATTCTCTCATATATTACATCCTGACTGCAGTTTCCCCTCCCTTCCCTCTCCCAGTCTTCTCCCATCCCCTACTCCCCTTTCCCTCAAAGCCAACCTCCTCCATCTCCTCTCAGAAAAGAGCAGGCCTCCCAGGAATAGCACCCAAATATAGCATAATACGCCACAGTAAGACCAGGTGTTGTTAAAATGTCTAAGTTTACCCAGGAACGAGGCACGAACTGTGAGTCAACGGTCCCACATGGAAAGGAAGGGGGAGGGAGGGAAGGAGGGAGAGGAGAGAGAGAGAGAGAGAGAGAGAGAGAGAGAGAGAGAGAGAGAGAGAGAGAGAGAGAGAGAGAGAGAGAGAGAGAGAGAGAGATTGAGAGCGCAAAGGGGGTGGCCATGGAGCTTATAAAGGGGGAGTTGCACATGCGCACTGAGTCCCGTCACTGTGTGCCCCCACCGATCAGGGAGTGGGGTTAGTATAATGCTGGAGTCCTTACAATTCCCTCGCCTTATGATAATTAAAAATGTGGTTGTTGGGCGTGAAGGGAAAAGTCAGACAAGTGAAGGAGAGTAGAGGCCGCATTTCTAAATGTGAATCACTGGCAGAATGTGGGTGCCAAAAAGCAGGCACA